TTTTTTTTTTAATTCCTGCAAGGTCTTAATGTTGTATCTCAACTGCCTTTCAGACCCCTGTAGAAAAAGCAGGATATCAGTCATTATAATAAGTCTTAAGTGTTGCTTAAGTTAACAGTAAGTCTGTGGATTCCTAGGGGAAGAAGGTTTGTATACAGAATATTATTGTAAATAGGTGGATGTTGCGTAAATATATTTTATTGAATATTATGCATAATTATTAATTAATGGATAACCGTTACTGTTGTGAATTAATATCATGAGGTTTTTGCAGTTCTTGCCATATGTACAGACAACAAAGAAACAGATAGATACTGGCCTTATAAGTTGCTGTTAAGTATTGGAAAGGATGGAATAAAATGGTGTTTTGTTGTTTTAAATGGGATTCAGGTGGTAGACATATATGTTTCCAAATGGGGTCAGCTCTTTTAAGAGGTGCAGGCAAATGATTCTTTTTTGCTTCAGAATATCGGATCGTTGCAATTAAGGTCATTATGTGTGCTGGTTGGAGATAATGCATTTATAGTCAGACTAACATATGGCACCATTTTGCCGAAGGCTGTCCTAGGCACACTTTCTTGGAAATGAGCCCAATTAAACTCACCGAGCCTTATTTTTAAGTAAGCAAGTCTGTAAGGGAGCTGCTTTCAGACAAGCCTGCACAGAAAATACGTTCCGTAGAACACAGTGGGGCCTGTTCCTCAGTGAGGCTGCACAGGGTTGGCAGCTCTTCCTCCTCCCCTTTTATCATCATCATCGTCATCACCGCTCCGTTTTTTTATATTTCAAGTGTTTTGGCAACTGAAAGCATGTTACTTAATGAGCTATAGATCTATTTGCCTATGTGTATATATACGATGTTAAAACATTTATATATAAGATTTTTAGTTCAAAATGTAGTGCATAATAACGTTTTACTGTAAATCCTGTAATTATATCTTGATTAAGAAATAAACGGTTTTTTTTTTTCCCCACCCACCATCCTTTATTTCTTTTGTCCTTTTCAGTGGGCAGGGAAGCTTGTTGCAGCCTTTTATTTACTACAGATTTCTCACGCTCCGTTACTCCTCCCGCAGAAATCCTTACTGCCGGTAAGAAGCCAGTTAAGACTACTCACACGTACGATTACTGTGGCAGCGCTTAAGCAGCTGGCTGCTGGGGCTTCTCTCCCTCCCTCTCCCATGGCTATAATTACATTTTTTCACAAAAAGCTTCCACCTTTTCTGCCAGAAGCGTTACAAATTATGGGAAGGAGGTCCAGGTCTCAGTGACAGCATTTATGCTTTGAAGGTCAAAGGTCCAAAGTTGAATCTCCTGTCACTTTCTAGCTAACTGGGTTTTGTGGACCAGTAATCAGACTTCAAGATCAAAACTGTGCTACTGAGCAAAGGAGGGGTGCCTTTTGAATCTCTCAAATCACAGACTTTACATTCCTACTCACATATTTTAGAACTTGGAAACCTCGCCTCCTAATAGAAACGTACTCCTGTGTTTGGTAGATGAAATTTGTTTTGTACTTATTCTGTAACATTTTTGCTGGGTCTGTTAGAGAGTGGTTCTCAGTGTGGGCCATGTGCTCCCTCAGGGGGCCATGCAATATTTCTAGGAGGCCTGCTGCTGCTGCTGCTGCTAGACATTTTGTGTCTTTAAGAATTTGGTTTGCTATTACGCAGTTACGTCTGCTTAGAATTAATTGTTTTTGTTCGCTACTACAAATACTTTGATTTTGTTATATAGAGGCAGTCCTCACTTAATGACCATTTGGTTAGCGATTGTTCAAAGTTACAATGGCACTAAAGCTACTTATGACTGGTCCTCACACTTATGACCATTGCAATGCCCCCACGGTCACATGATCGCGATCAGGGCGCTTGGCAACCAGCTCGCACTTATGATGGTTGCATCATCCAACAGTCACGTGATCGCCATTTGCAACCTTTCCAGCTGGCTTCCGGCAAGCAAAATTAATGGGGAACCGTGTGATTTGCTTAATGACCATGTGATTCACTTAACGACCACTGCAAAAAATGTAAAATTGGGTGCGATCATGTGATGCTTTGCTTAACGACTGTACTGCTTAACGATGAATTTTCCGGTCCCTGTTGTGTTTGTTAAGTGAGGACTAACTGTAAAAACAGTTATACTAATGATACAGTTTAGATTAATAAACAGTGCAGATGGTAACGTCCCTTTTTTCCAGCTTAACATCAACGGGAGGGTGTGTGTCACAGAGGTAAATGAGGCTTAGGAAGGAGCCATGAGCAAAAATAGGTTGAGAATACCTGTGTTAGAGGCTTTTCTGTAATTGAAGTCTACAATCCTTAAATCTTTTTCATTGATTCTACTGCTTTATTTAGTGGCACTTATCTGAAATTTCTTAGCTTCATTTTTAACATTATTCTTATATTATTCTGACTCATTAATCTTAAGGTTTTCTAATATCCTTTTTAGTTAAAACTCCTTGTTTCTACCCCTTTTAATTATTTTAATCCCACCGGTCTAGCCTCTAGATCTATAGTTATATTTGCTTCATGATTTGCTTTGTGCTGGTTAACGACTGTAATAAAGATTGATGCTCACGATGATACTTGGATTTAGGGATCTGTTCGTACATGTATCTCTTTTCATCTCCCTCTCCTTCATTCGCTCCCTCCCTTCACATATTTGATACTGAATATTTCATGACTGTTGAGTATGCTTAAGGTTTTTTTTTTCTTTTCCTCTTAAGATTGTCTTGAACATTGCAACACCTTTTTATACTTCATGTACCTCATTCTGGCTCCAATTCTATTAGCACTTGCAATCTTAGCTTCCTGTTAGAACTGAGGATTGGCTGCTCTCCAACATGCTTTCCCGCATGTGATTGACAACATAGCCTTACACACACTCATTAAATCCAGTGAAATTTACTCATCAGTTAGTGTAGATGGGATCACAGCCTTACTCTCTTTAAGAGGTGTTTTTTTTTTTTTTTAAATCAAGGTTAATTTTAAGACAGATAAGGAAGCTTCTGTTTCACATAGATTTGAGAATGCATTTTATTTTCAGGACTCTCTTCACGGAATTGAGGATTGTTGTTGAGCATCTCATAATGAAGCCTTCATGCCCTGTATTTGTACGAAGACTCTGCATCAGCAGCATTTCTTTTATAAGCAGACTGGCACCAACGGTTGCGTAGCCAACACTGGAAACCTGCGTACGTCTCCCTAATGAACATTTTGAGCAGCTGGTATTTCTGCTGGTGATTTATAAATTCAGGATCTCAGTCAAGGTTGTATAGAAACGTTTCCTTCCAAGAGTCTGTTTTGTGGATTGTATCTATGGTTTTTTTTTTTTTTAAGGTCTGTTTTTCTTTCCAAGCTGATGTTTCTGTGTTTTGTGGAAGATGAATGCCTGTCATCTTAGGCAAAATACTTTTTAGGCAAACATTTATCTGTGTTGTACAATATGGTTTATGTATTGTCGTGATTTCATTAATACTGAATGCAAAATACTTCTTCAAACCAAGAAACAATGCCAGGCAATACTAGCTGGGTGGTGTCTAGCAAGCCATCAGATGTTGCTGTAGTGTACTTGGTAGTTCTTGGGGGTTCGCATCTGAAATACCTTCCTATGCGGTACATTTGAGTCAGTATTCTGTCAGTGAGCAAATGAAAGAAACTCAATCAATTAAATCATCATAATTAACACAAATCAGTCGGCATCTGTCTGAATATGAACAGTAGGTCTAAACATCTAATTTTGTTGTTCTGATTTATTTAATGCTTTTGAAATGGAAAGCCCTCCATCCTTCTCCAGCTCTATCTTTTTTTATCCATATTTCTTTATGCTCTCTGACTGCCCTATTACTTTTGCTGTCTTCTGAAACTGGGATTCTTAAAATGCCAATCTGTGAAACGTTTGAATAATAAAGATGGATGTTATGTTTATTCCCAAGAAAACTCATGGTGTTTGTGCCCTTTTGGGGTAAACATCGTTCAACTAGACTGCTTCCATTCAACCTCTAACAATATGTGAAGCGATCTAACCCACAATAGAAATCTGATCTGTAGGTGTTGATTATACTGTGAAATTCATTTCTGGGTGGTGAGGAAAGGCTTCCCTATAAGGCAGAAGCAGAGGTGGTCTTTAAGGTATAAAGGGCACCCCTCCTTTCCCTTCAGCCTTTGGGCCTGTTTGTGTTGGCAGTCACTGGGCTAGAACTCCAAGGAACTGGGTCCGGGGATGAGTCTTTCCATGCTGGCCGCTTCACCTTAATCAAACCATCAGGTGTGGAGACCTGAAGGACTTCTCTCCGCACGGCTGCTGTAGCTATACGTTGGGATGGCCACAGTGTGTGTGCATGCTATAGTTTAAAATAACTTAGTAGCAAGTTTCCACCTAGGACATAGGTGGAGAGCCAGTGGCCATCCAGGTGTTATAGGCCCATACTTCTTAGGAGTCTCAGTAGATGTGGTCAGTACTGAGGGATGCTGAGAGTATCCGTGCATCAACACGGGAAGGTTCACAGGCTCCCCACCCGTCATTAAGAAAAAAATTGCTCCCCCTACCCCATGGGAGTAATGCTGAAATTGCTGAACAGTGTCTGTTTTCTTCCAGGTAGAGGTGACATAACGCCATAAAGTCTAGCTCTGTACTGCCTCAACCAACCACTCTGCGCTAGTATCCGTGCGGCCATTGCACATCCTGTTTGTGAGTTCTTCACAGGCATCTATTTGACGACTGTAGAAATTAAATACTGTCCCAGCACTGCTCTTAGGTTCTCACTTTAGAACTCGACTTGATACACTTTTTCGGTGTGCTGCGTGTTTCATGTAAATCTCTGGGATGATTTCGATAGGGCATTTCTCCCAGGTGTATATTCTAGGCCTGAATTTGTCTAAGCTGATGGTTTACCGATTGGGATTCGACACAGCCTGATGTGTTTTTTCTTGGGGATCACTGAGTTTATGGAGTGTATTCCCAAGTGAGTGTATGGGTAACCCTACCCAGAAAGAAAAATACCCAGGTGAAAGCAGGGCGTTTGCAGAAGGGCCAACAGAATGTTGTGCAAACCCCAGCCCTTAGCCACAGCCTCCAGTGCTTCTCAAAAAAATGCTGCCATGTTGCAATTTTAATGTGATAGAAAAGGTAAATTTTTTAATACATAAGGACAATCATGTTAGCTGTTTAAGGAATCGCTTCGTTTTGAACTTGGCTGTTCAGTGAGCCAGAGCTCATTCATGATCTAAAGGAGTGGAGAGGTCTGAATGAGGGGCTAGTCTTGTCCTGTCTTCTACTATGGTTTCTTAAAGGGAACAGGGCCATAAATGCTCATTATTTCACATTTGTCACCGGGATGGCACTGAGCTATCTGCTGACTGTCGTTTCCGAAGTCCAAATCCCTCCCTCTTCCTGCGGATCTGCATTTTAGGATTGAGGAATTATTTGCTTAGGTACTACCTATACACTGATTCTTGTGGGCTGTTTCATAATTCAGTGTCTTAACTTTGCATTAATTGATGCACTAAATAATTACATTTGATGCACTTGTTTTAAAACAGATGTTTCTGTTTATATGTTTTTTGGGAGTATAATGTGAATGCCATTTTGATTAAACTCATTCATTAGCTTGTCATAGCCAACTTAGTGCACTGTTTATTCATCTTCCTGTTCTGGTAAAATACTCTTAAGTTCTAAATGAGGCTGAGATCATTCTACTTGAGGTCTTCCTCACTGATTTATAGAGATGCTGCTTAGAAGTGTGCATGAATGCTGAGATGTCCTTCTGTGCTCTCTATCCTGTTTCGACTTTTGTAAAAACTAAAATGGCTACAGCAATAAAGTGGATGTTTTAGCAATCGGCTGGCATGGAAGGTCTGAGCCTATTTCAACCTGATTTGCATCTATATAAGCTGAATTTTGTGATTCTAGAATTCTGAAGCAGAGCATTAAAGGATGAAAGGAATCTAGCACTGCGTGGGTGCTACTTAAGCATTCAGTCCTCACTCACAATGCTTGCATACCTTTGCTAGAGAAAAAACTTTATTCGGGGACTAAGCTTCATACACTTTGCAGCTTTGCTTCTGAGAGATCCTGGGATTTCTTTTTCTTAAAGCAACCATGGATGATTGGCTCGCACCCAAAGTTCTGCATTAAGGAATCTGAATATTTAGTGTAGTATGGCTGAGATAAATGAATACATTTGCATATTTGCAGAATTCTATGATTTCTTTTGGCTGCACTAATAATGGAATGTAACTCCCCACCATATAATGCCCTCTTTAGAAATCCCTCTGCCTTCTGAAATTTCAGTAGCCCTATTATTGCAATCATAATACTTAGATGCTTGCTTAAAAGCAGATAGGAGACGTTCAGGAAGGTAAATTCTATCATGTGTATATGCGTGTTTGTATGTGTTTTTAAGATCATTTGCTTATTTTAATTTAAGTTGTATTTCCTGGAGGAAATCCCTTCAATCTAATCTGTGATATGCCACTGGTATCTCAGGTGAGAAATCGAGAGATTCCTGATTGAAATGCCATAAGCCTCCATTTACAGTAGATGAATTTAGACTGGAAAAATGGATCTGCAGCAAAGATGCCCTGTCTGTGGCCCAAGACCAACATGCACACTGACATTAAAGGCCGAGTGTGGCTCTAGGCTTCAGAAAAGGTAGGCAGATGAGTAGCAAGGGCTGAATAAGGGATCACCAGGAGTCGTTGATAGTTCCACAAAGTGAGTCAGTCCCATCCTCCTGACAACTGTTCATAATGCATCATGTTGTACATACGGCTTCAGTACGTTCATGCGCATTTGTCGAAGAGATTTCCTGTAAGAAAACGTCCCAATTTAGATGTTCTTAGATTTGGCTAGATCTGAGGTTTTTACCCAGAGATAGGGGCAGCTGCATTTTGATTCATAGTTCTGTAGCACACGAATCCGGATGTAACATCTGATGCTAGGCCTGGTTGCTATAGAGGATGCTAATGGCGACCTATTTCCATTAATTTTCTACCTATGAGCGCCCAGCTGAAATTTCTCAATCAGATGCCACACTTTTTAAAATGGTTTTTGAGGGGTGATGTTACTGATGTTGTGATTGATCCATTGGCGCGAGAGTGGGCGGGGCCAGTATCAATGAGCTTTAAAAGCCAAAACGGGTGTCTTAGCTGTGCAAAAAGTTAAAGTGCTCATTTTGCCCTTGAAAACTAACAGAGGAAGGAGAAAAAAGCCGTGATGTTTTGGGGAGAGGGGGTATCTAATGGGTGAAAGTGCCTTACGCCGCTGCTTTAACTGTGCCCAGAAATGGGCTCTCAAACTGCCCTGCCACCCAAGGAATGGGGCATTTATCCTTCCGTGCTCGAAAGTTACTAGATGAATGCAGAAATGTCTCTAGGATAGTCACATCAGGGCACGTAGTACTGTACTTTACAGTGTGTTATAAGAGAAAAACCTGTTCTTGCCCCAAGAAGCCTATTCAATTACCTATGATACAACCATTGAACAGAGGAGTCTTAGGAAAAAGTAACGAACGCCAAGAAGTGCATATGTGTTGCTTTTCTGGGTGAGGCATGTGGTTGTAGGAAGCACAGGATTTGCTAGCAGACCACGATTAAAATACCATGGAGACTTGTCCAGTAAGCCGCTCATGCATATGGATCTGATTTTTTTAACACATGAAGAACATCCAGGAATAACTAGGGAAATCCTGATTAAAAGTCTCACTTTCCATTTGTTGGGCAAAGAACAGGGAATATTGGGCTCAGAAAGGAGACCCCCATTTCAGAAGATGGGCAGGAATGTGGCTTTGATAAAGGCCTCTTCTCTTGAATTGGAGGGGAGAATTGTTCCAGATGACTTTGTCCTTGCAAACTTGGCTTCCGTTGTGAGTTAGCCTAGCTTCATGGGTATACATTATATATTCCTTTCTTTTTCTTCTTCTTTTTTGTGCAGAGAGGCTTGTCCTCCCTTAGTAACAGAGTCGTTTTTAGGTAGCAGATTGTTGCTGCATCTCAGGTGCCATGGGCTGAACATAAATTAGAAAAAATAAATTGAAAAATTCATCATTTTCCCTGTCTTCAAGGACTGGAGCGCAAAATGCTAATGCTGGCCTCAGAGGGGAAATAGTCCTCCTGCATATTTGAGAAAATGTGAAACCCTTTCAAAGAAATCTAATAAACATAATCATCACAGCCTGCTGACACGAAGGAAATAGGGCCTCATTCGCTCTTTCTTTTTTATGCTGCAATTTAGTGGCCCCTACTGATTTACAAATTGGATCACAACAGTAAATTATCCATGCCAGTACCTGTGAAAGTAAGTGCTGAGATCCATATTTGTTTGGAGTTCTGCTTAAATCAGCAAAAATGATAAATCTGATGGTCTGAAATTGGAAATACCAAGGGCTTTCTGCAATGATTGAGCAAAATGTCTCCTCTTGTAATTTATTGTGACCCTCTTTCATTCTAGACACTTTGTATATCTAATATTTATTTCAACACAAATTAAATTGCTCCCTCCTAGATTGTCGCATCTCTGATTTTATTGATGTTGTCAAAATCCAATTGCAGTCCCTTCTTCTGCCCCGTTCCCTTGGATTCGAAAGGGCTACAGTCACACCAGTTTATACTGCAAAGAGATAGCTGTTACTTTTGCTTTCAAGACACGGGAATCTTTGTGGTGGCTTTTTAAAATGATACTGTGAAATTTATTAAGCAAAACAACTTTGATGAGATAAGTTGATTGATTTTGTGCCAACAGGTTGGTGCTAACTCTTAGCAACCACACAAGTAGATTTTTTCCAGGAGGATCTTTTTCCAACATGGTTCTTCAGGTCTTCCAATTCTTCAGGTCTTTCCAACACTCATCATTGCTGTAATTGAGTCCATCCACCTCGGTGGTGGTTGTTGTCTTCTCTTTTACCTTCCCCAGTATTATAGATTTCTCAAGATTGGTAAGATTTTGCATAATGTGTCCTAAATATGATAATTTGAGCCTGGTCATTTGAGCCTCAATGAGAACTCTGCACTGATTTGTTTGATGCTCCATTTGGCAATCCGTGGTATTCTCAGGAGTCGTTTCCAACACCAAAGGTCAAAAGCGTCAATATCCTTTCTATCCTGCTTCTTCAAAGTCCAACTTTCACTTCCATAGAATGTCACAGAGAAAACCATTGCCTGCATGATTCTGATCTTTGTAGGTATAGACACAACCCGGCATCTGAACGTTAAGATGATACATGTAGAACTGATATTTATTACGGTTCAGTATGTAGATAGATCTCATCCCATATTTTGTAATCATTTCATTTTAGAAGATTTCTTCATGCTTTTACTGGACATTTCCACAACCCCCCACCCCCCTATTTTTACCACTGCTTTGCCTGGAATGGATAGTTAATGGTGGTTTGGCGCCCACACTCATGCACACACATACATGCCCCATACAATTTTAGAGTTCCAAAACTTGTCACGGCCTTCAGGCCTGCCCTGCTAGGTGCACATGCATGCATCCACCCACCCTATTAGGCACTGTTTTTGCAGATGCATAAGGCAGACACTTTTATGTTACACTATCATTTCAGCTTTTTATCTGAGTTCTCATTTCAATGGCTCATTTGAATGCCATTTTTGCTACAATGGTAGATTGGAAGTTCTGTGTATATCTGTTGTGCTTTCACTATTTTGCAGGACGTCGCATTAGATACTCAGCTATATTCCTCTTGACTTCTCATCCATTTTTACACGTGTTCAGTGGTTGCAAATAGTGTTGCAATGTGCACTGGAGCATCAAGCAGCATAATGCATTCCATGTTCCGCTGGACCTTCGCCTTAACAGCAAAACAAATAAAGTACTGAACTTCGTTAAACTTTGTCGGTTCAGGTACTCTATTCTCAAGCAGACCTGAATATCAAATTAATTCAGGGTAAGAGAGAACATGGATTGGCATTCTGTTTGCGTTTTCCTTCTGAAATGCTGCCCTCTGGTGGAATATTATATGTAATTCTCCCTCTGTGAGATGTGTGTGTGATTTTACGACACATCACCCTCTGTCTATCTGTCATACAGTGATGGGTCTCAACATGGAAGATGGTATCTGATATTATCCATGTTCAACAAATGCCATGCTTTGGGATATTCCATCTTAAAAGGTTCTATACTTGTTTTGATAAACTGCATCTTATTTTAGAGCAGATGAAAATGGTAGAAGGAAAAGATTTGGCTTTTAGGCTTATCACTTTTACTTGTTACATGTTGTAATAAGCATAGCATTGAAATTTTTCAGCACATCCTTTGGGGATCCAGCTCAAACGTGACTGAAGTAGTGTTTGATATTTAAAAATTAAGAGACAGGTGCAGTGTGGGGCGTCACATTTTGATGCTTTAAAAATGTGTATATGTGCAATAAAACTTACGGAGGTGCCACACATAATGGAACTTCCCATGGTCATGTTGCAAAATGTGGTTCTCTACAATTTGGTAATATTTCTGAGCATGATCAAAAGTCCTCCTGTTTGTCACAGGGAGTGGGAATTAAATGGCAAGTCTCAAACAGCTTAATTCGAAGATAATTCTAAATGAGTCTCATGGAGCAAAAGCTAACTCAGACATGGCAAAAGCAGTTGAGAAACTCTTTA